GCCACTCTGGAGTAACCCTGGTCCTGTTGTTTTAGAACTATAGAAGAAATACTGTATTTGTGCTGCAAAAGCCATTTCAGGCATTCTCTGGGTTAAGCCTGAAAATAATTCCCTTCGCTGCTTGTAATCCATTCTTTGTGCGCTGTCCTTGAAATCTTATACCTTGTTTTGCTTTCATACTGTAGTGAGGTTTTTGGTTGCCTCGCATTAAAAATCGCCATGATTACTGGCCTTTTTGGCTTAGGACTTTCTACCCTTTGCTGCTTTGGATCTGATGTTGGCAGATGACTTCACCAGCATACTCCTCCCAAAGCTTGCAAACGTTTGGTGATATTTAGTGCATAAAAAGAGGTAGGAAGAAGTTATAGGGGAACGGGTCCCAAATACTTGTCTGCATGGTGTATGGGGTAGAATTCAAGGTGAAGATCAGTGAGGTAGTCAAAGCTGCTGATAGACTATTTATATAATGATGACTGTGTCTGTTGCTGATTCTGTGAACCACATCCAAGAGCATCTATTTCAGCAAGAGGAGCCCTGACAGAGCACATTTTGATTAATAAATTATCTAGTTCATACAGTATAGGCTAAGTTCTCCTTTCACATCCCATGAAAGTCATTCGCTCAACGTTTAGCGAGTACAGGCAGTGGATGTCTTGACAGCAAATGTCCCTTCATTTAGAAGAAGAGGACTATTGGGATATTTGCCTAAGAGCACTTTCATGAAAGTTATTAAAGGTCAAACAAGAATTAAAATATATGACATATATGACATAACCTTATCTTTTGGGTCCTCAATCTCTACTCCAGTTCATTATCTGGGGCTCAGGAAGATCAAAGTGACCAGATCATATATTCCAACCTTCAGAATGCCCTGTTGTCTTTCCTATTCTGGGAGAGAATATCAGAATCATTTAAAATCAAGATATAAGTTTTATTCACTATTATGTTTGTAATTCTAGACTGGGATGAGGACTAGAGGGATGTTGCTGGATGATTCTAACAAAATCTAGACAAGACCTCATTTGAAAGCCTACACGATGGTGATGATGACTGCAAAGAAAATATTGTCACTGTGATGTGTCATCAAATACAACTTCGAAAACCACTACATTCTGGCTGAAGATGAGAAAATGTTGACCATTCAGTAGTGTATTATAAGCAATTTGCAGAATAAAAATTGCTTCTATGACTACTGACTTGCATGCATACTTGACTTTGGACACCTCTGCATGTCCGTTTTGGTTCCTCTTCTTTTAACTTTTCTCTTTAATTTATTTTGCTTGCCATTTCTTACTCTTTGGTACCATGGTTTTCCTCCGATGGAATGGGAAACACTGATTTCCATAACTCTGGTTTGATTTGGAGACAGATTCCCAAAGGTAGTTTTACACTACCTTTGACACTATGGCGATTCAAGCTTCCATCTTGTACTCCATTTTTAAAAAACATACTGTATATATGAAACTGCAGTTGTCTGATATGTTAACGTTTGGTGTCTCCAGTATCCTAATGACATCCAGCTCTCTCTAATCCTTCCATTTAAATCTAAAGCAGACCAAGTTCTATATCAGTATTTGATGTTAAAAATAAACAAAAAACAGCACAAAAGATGTTCTTGGACAATTAAAAGACAATGCACAGGATAAGGTGTAAATATGTACTAAATGAGGTTACACTCTCCTTGAAGATTTCCATTCACAGGTTAGGTATATACCTTCATGCTCAGGTTTCAATGCTGAGCAGCAGTATTTGCTCACCTGAGATGAATGCCTAAATTCTGATCATTTCTGGAAATAATCAGATCTGGCCATGGTGACACATGTTTTAAATAAATTCCTTTGGGACTACTGTCATGCCCATGCATCCTCAGTTCAAGATGAAGCAATCAGGATGTCAGACATAGTCCTGGTTCTACCAAGAGTGGTAAAATGGCACCAAGACCCGCCTGCAACAACCATTTCTAGTTGTTGCAATCCAAACCTTGGAAGCAGGGAGGCAGAAAAACATTGGGCTGCAAATAGAAGCATCTTGCACAGTCACAGCTAGTTGGGAAAAGCCTGAGATTGGAAATTAGGATTGATCAGTGCCAGTTGTGCTCAGACAGAGGCTGGGAGTCTCTTGTATTTAAGGTCCTTTCTGAATGCAACCTAGCATTGGAACCACTGTGCACAATAGCCCAACCTTGTCTACGCTGCACTATGCTTTACCGTAATCAGCTTTCTGTGTGGAGCTTTTGCTGTGAAATCTCAAGCTTGACTTGTCTGACAAATGCTACATTGTGCTCTAGCCTGCTGATTCACATTTTTAAGACTGCTAACTAACTGACTCCAGACTGAGGACTTCAGGACAACTGCTGCAACACTGATTCTGCCTATGAAAAGTTCTCAAAAACATTGGCTGATTCAGAAGGCTATGATTAGATTATAGAAAGATGCCATTCAGCTTCCTTATTATAACTTCCTTAGTTAACTCTTTGTTTCTGGATGCAGTTCAAGATGTGGGTTCTGTTACTTAAAGCTCCAGATAACTTGAGACTAGTTAGTTTTCACTGTATCTGTGCATCACACATATGGGGTTGTACTTGTCCACATTACCCTTCCAGAATATCAAAGAGGGCTACTAGTTAGAGATGTCTCCCTATGGCCAAAGTTTTCCTTCTACAAGCTCAGTAAAATAATTCATCTCAATTAAGAGCTTGGCTTTGGGAACAAGCATCAAAAGTGACCAGATCTTCTTGTAAGGTTTACTCAGTTTTGAAGGGGGTCTCTGCCCTGGTTACTGTATGCAAACTATGGAGCCATCTAGTACTATTATGGCCTTGAATGTCCCTCAGCTTCCATTGACCCTGGAAAAAACAGTGATTGCCTGAGAATATTGAAGGCATTTTCTAGATGGTTGCTTCTAATCTCTGGAACTTCTTTCCAAAAAACGGAATCAAAGTAGCTCCATTCTTCTTGTTGTTTTTGCTCTGCTGTACATAAATACATTTTTATTCAGACAGATTTTTGGCATTTAAAATATTTGTTACTGAAGCAGGCTTTAATCTATTATGTACTGATATTTGGGGAAATTATTTTATTCCAGTGGTTAGTTTGTGGTATAAAGAACATCAACCCAAGAATGTGCTGTAGCTGGGGATGGGTTTACTGTAGGTGGAATTCTCTACCCATGGACAACTGCAATATTATGGGGGGTGGGGGGGAATAATAACAACCACTCAGAAACTAGATTTTACTACCAAAAGTACATACAGATGTTCACATATATGCTAAAGATATAGATTTCTTACTGGTGTCACTTTTAACCTTATTCCTTTACATCTCTAAGGGTTTATTCCTTTCTATCTTCTAATTCCTTTCAGTTAGAGTTCAAGTTTAACCTTGACATTTTCCCTGTACTTAACAATGTCTTTCTGATTACAGCTTCCCCACACCCAACACTTACACACACAGGGCACTCTCTCTATTCCACAGCCCACCACTTTGTTCTCCTCCTTGGAAAGACTTCTGAGCCATGAGGTGCATGCTTGCTATGGGCTGTGTGAATTCTGGTCCTCATCTTTTTCTTTTTTCTCTACAACCCTTTCTAACTAGCTATTGTTTGACAGCTATTTGTCTCAAAAGCAGCAATCTCTTCTCTAAACAACAGCTGTCCTCCCACTGCTAGGTCTCAGCTGACCCTAGTGAATACTTCTCAGTCCCCACCCTTCCACAAAGGTGCTGTCTGTGTGCCAAAGAATCTGCACTTCTGGTAGAGATGCTAACAGGTGCTGTGACCTTGAGGAAAGGCAAGGCAGACCTGACTTTTCACAGCTATATGCAAGTTGCCAGTAATATTGAATGAGAGGCAGAGATAATATTGAGTCAATGTTCTAACCCCACCAAAGAGAGTTTTTAGTGCATTGATGGACAGATCAGTTTTCTGTACCCCCCTCCCCAAATCATATACCGTATAATTCTGATACTACATTAGTATGTATGTACTACTGAATTTTAGCCTGAAAAATAATTTCTTTTACTTTGGTGAGATTTTATACAATCTCAAACATTAGTTCATTTATACATAATTCTTGAACGTAACACTGAGAAACAGGGGAGCGCTAGGACAAAAGTGCTAGCAATGCAATGCCTACAAAGTGAATCAGAGGAAGCAGAAGAGTATTGTTTGGCCTAATGCCAATAGTAACTGAGATAGAGACAACTAAACATGATCCTGCAGTTCAAGATGCAGTAGAGGGCAGGCAGTTCAAATAGAAGTAGCTGAAGAATTTTAGCAAGTTTATGAGTTTGTAGCCTGATATTTTACTTTTCTACTTATACTTACTAGTTCCATGCAGCTGGACAAGATCAAGGAAACAAGAACTATACTGATTTCAGTAATGTATTACTAGTGTAGAGCAAATGCAGAATCTCGGAAACTGTAACAATTTCCCAGCCTCATTTATAGTGAATTAATTAAGGCAGAATCTCTTCGAATGCTTTGAAACGCTTGTTCCTCACTTGGGCTCAGTTGCTGTTTATGACTTGCCTACTCTGTATTGATTATTTATGTCTGTGCTCTCTTCCTTCCTTTCCAGCCTCTCTACCATCTCCCACATAAATCCACATAATTATATTAAACTTATGTCCACATAAGACATAAACTCCTCTGAGTTCAGTAAGGTTTACTCTGGTAAGCATACTTAAGAGTGTAGTCTTGGTCAGGCACGGTTCAGCTGCAAATAGAGATTATTGTGAATAGATATAGATATAGATATATGTTTTAATTCCTATGAATCCAATGTGGTGATTTTAACACACAAATTAGAAATATCACAACTCCACCAGAACATTCAAATTAAATCCAATCTCACTATATAAAATGAGATTTGGATTACTCAAATTGCATGATGAGAACTTCTCCCTTGTTCCTTACATATGTGTTGGGGAAGTCATGAGCCTTGGGACATCCATGGTCCAAATATTTCTCTTGCTGATGCTCCTAGTTCTTAAAGATTAGACATGCTGATGCACCTTATAAAGTGCCACTCCCCTGTGTATTCTCTGGAATATGTATTACAGCAGCAGCAACAGGATGTGGGAAACAGCAACCGTTTTGATGTAAGAACCCCTCAACAGGCACATGTACCTTCTACCTTCTTCCTCTACAAAGATAAGGGCAAACCTATCAGCTTGTGAACATTTGGGGATGATTAGTGAATGCTGCAGAAGACATATAGGCCATTCTTCCACCTCTCACATGTTACATGTTGCCTGTGCCTTTTCAGCTGTAGAATCCAGTAGATGGAGGAATAATAGAGATGTCAAGAAGGCTTGGGCTTTGTTATTTGTGCCTGTATATATTTTTTGCCCTTCACATATAAAATGAGGAGAGTGTAATTGCTGTTAGACCACTAGAGCAGACAAACCACTTGAAAGCCATCACACTGTTCTGCAGAACTGCACAGTCAGCTACACGCTAAACTGCACTTAACCCAAGCTGGGACTTTTTAGTGGGTCAAGAAATTGATGGAAAGGTAACAATGAAATAAATGAAAGCAACAGTGCTTTATAGTGGTAGAGGAGGATAGGGAGGCACTGATCACAAAAGGGAAACATGTAACTACAAAAATGTGTGCTTTAGTGTAGAAGAATAAAGAGGGGTGCTGTGTTCATGCCACCTCATCTATTTCTAAACGTGAACATGAATTCAAATAGTTGAAGCCACTCTGAAAACTTCCTCATTGTATCCAGATCAAATCTATTTATCCCTTCCCAGTGATGACTCTAGGAAAACAAAACAATTGGGCAAGATTCAGGTAGAAGCCAGTAATGCACATGTCTTTCGTGTTCCCCTCTATATTTTCCAGAAACCTCTTTTCATGTTTCCTGAACATTGTTGTTTCTTTTCTTTTACTACTGGTGGGAAATCAAGAGTAATTCACTGGCTGCTCCATAGGGCACCAAGTTTAGGCCCTCCTCTAATGGGAATTTACAATTTGTAAAACTGAGCTGGTTAGGATACAGATTTGTTAAACTTTGATAAGCTTGTTTACAGAAGCAGAACATCCCAGAAGGAAAATTGCTATTTCCCTCCACCTTTTTCTTCCCAGTCTGATGCCCCCACCCCAGCTTCTCATTGTTATGGGTTCAGATTTGGTCAGTTTCATGCTGCATGGGAGTTACTGCTTACCGATCCCATTTCCTACCTGTGATCTGGAAATCCTTCCAATCTCATCTACAGCATCCATAATGCTTTAAACAACGCACCCTTGCTCCACCTCATCTTGCTCTGTTTTAGCTATAGAACAGGTGCAGATGTGTGTCTAAGTTACAGAATTGTTGTGTATACAAAAACTATGAATACATTTCCATTTTAAAAGGAGCAGTTTGAAACTTCCGATATTGCCTGAAGTTTTCGTGATCTTATCAGGAGTTACTCAGTTCTCAATCCTATATCTTGTTAGACTGAGGCAATGGGAAATTGAGTTTAGTTTTTTAAATGCAGTGCTTTCGATTCACATCATAACCTGCGGCTGGCTTGGGGTTCCAAATGACACAACATTTTTACCTCTCAAGCTTCTCTTTGCAGTTTACATGCTGTTATGGACATAAAACAGAATGTCTGTCTCTAACCTTTTATATTAACTCTTGAGCTTTTTATGCTTTTCACAGGAGTTTATTTGTGCTTATCCTATTTATTTTATTGTCAGGCAACACCAACAGTATCTTTGCACTGGACTACATCAGTGGTGCTTTAACTCTGAATGGGCCACTGGACCGAGAAAATCCTTTCTACAGTGCTGGATTTATTCTTACAGTGAAGGTAAGAGAAAACCAGAATCAGTGTTTCAGAACATCTCAAAGAGAGAAGGAAAAAACATAGACTATTTTTTTTCCTTCATTGTGGGACTACTAGTGATATGCCTGACCAATTACATGGTAGCATCTAGCCAAGGTGATAATCTCAACATGCTGAATAGAATGGCCCTGTTTAGTATTTAGATGGGAAGTCACTAAAACATGCATGGATTTTCAGTCACCTTTCCATAATAGTTTAATCTTTCTTCTTTCCTGGGTCTTTTTCATAACTACTGGTGTTAGGTAAGAAAGAAACCTTAGATTTCCAGAAGTCACTGGCATATTGAAGGAGTGCTATGGTGATAGCACATTCCTGCAGACATGTATCCTGCCTGCTGGTAAAATATAATGAAGTTGTCATTATCAACTTCAGATTTGTTTCTTTTCTTTTCTTTTTCTTTTGGTCATCTATGTGGCACCAATAATGTTCGATGCTCCTCAGAAGAGCAAAATTAGAGAGAGGAGGGGCAAATCAGCTTGACTAACAAATACTTGAAGAGCCCTTTTCCAATTCTGAAAACCTCTTCTCCCCCCATCATAGAGCTTTAATTAAAATCAATATAAAGCTGGAAACATATTTAGTGATATAGATTCTACTGAGATGGAAGGGATGGGGGTGGGAGAAAGGGCATCTGCTAGAAGGGTCATTGATTGGGAGGGTGGTAGCATTTTCCAAAACAAGACCGATCACCCCCACCCTCTGCTGACTCAAAGGCCAGCACTTCGTCAGGAAGAGAACTTGGCTTGCAATTACTCCATTTGACCTCTCTTAAGTTGCATTCAGTGGAATTCTATATAGTCAATACGCTATTATTGCTATCCTTGAAATCTTGCTCCTTTCCATAATTCACTTTACTTTTTAGTTAAATAAAAATCTGACTGAGGCAGAGACTTTTTTTCAATGGGGAAAGAATTCCTCCCCCCTCCCCCACTTTGCCAATATACTCACGGTAAGTTTGAAGGCTGGTTCTCTCCCATCAAATCCTAAGGCAACATAATACTCTCTCTGTTCATGAGTCTGCAAGTGCCCTGGAAGATATGCCCCTCAACTGGTAAAGAAAGATATTTTAAATTCAAAACTCATTCTTCTTTTCAAGAGGGGATATACACCAAGATGAAGTTTGTATAGCTGTTCAGTAATAACTCTTCCTGGTAGGCTCTTCCACATAGCTGCAAACATCTGCCATCCAGTCTTTGAATCAGCAGAAAAATATGCCAGCATGAATTCCACTGTCCCACCTGCTGAGCCCTAACCTGACTCAAGAATGAGGATGCCAAGTGGCACTATTCTTATAGTGTTAATGTGAGACAAGGGAAGGAAAGTGATTGATCAATTCCCCTAGCTCCATTTCCACTGAGCGTCATCTGCCAGGAGGAGAAACATCCACTAATCACTCTCCTTAACATGTTGGGAGGCAGGGTTGGGCAAGTGTAGTTAAATGTTTGGGGTGGAAGGTTTTGCTGCTTTTCAGTTGCCCAAGTGACAGGTTATAGGCATGGAGTGAAGGCTATCTGAACATGGGTATAGTGCCCATCTGTGTCTGAAATAGCCCAGCTGACAGAGGAGGGGCTTGAGATCCAATTCATCTGTCCTCTGCACCTGCAACCTGTGAATCAGGCTAATTTTGGACATACTGTAGGCTTAGTTGTCTTTCTGAGGCATGCTAGACTTGTGTTCAGAAATAGCCTGTGTGAGAAGTCACAGGTGCAGAAGAGGGTTGTGAAGAGCATCACAGTGCTTCCTCCCACTTCACACAGTGCCTGTCCTCTGCACTTGTGATCTATCAGTCGGGCCAGCAAAAATGGAAGAGGAGCAGTAGGTTATCAATAACGAGCAAATTTCATTCTCAACTAGTGCTGGAATGAAATGGCTGTGTTGGTTGCAAATGGCCATGGTGACAGGCAGCTGGGAGCAGCCTACTGTAGGGAAAATGGTTCTGCCCCCCAAAGTAATAAAAACACTAAAAAAGAACAGGCACATAAAACCCTTTGTAATGCCACTCTTGATGACAGAACTGGGAACACAAAGTTTGCAAATCCCAGCTCTCTTTCCCAGTTTAAATTAACCTTCAGCACAACACAGGACAGCTTCTCAAAAGAACATTAGTCCTGGTTTTTGAACCACAGTTCTATGGCTCTACACCAGTATTTTAAAGAGCCAGTCTGGTACTCTTTCAAAACCTATGTAAAACCTGACAAGTCTTTGGAAAGGACCAGTCAGATGATAGATTGGTAGCAAGTCAGGCAAAAGAAGGAAAGAAAACAGCTTTCTGGATCTTAGAAAAAAATTAACATCCAATCTGCATGAACTGGACCTGACCATCTAGATTACACCCCTGCTTTCCCCCACTTACCTCTTCTTTGCCCACTCACACGTAGTCTTCTACACACCAGGCCCCCAACTCTCTTTTCCTTCTGTGCTGAGCTGAAACAGCAGCAGCTGCCTAAATTTTGGCTCTCATAATGGTGGTAATACGTGCAGATTTTCTAGAAGTGATTCTCCTACCATGGATCCATGCAAATAGCCTCCACCTGCTTTGCTACTTTGAGAGGAAGAGTTCTCATACTACAAAATTACAGAGTATTGTCTTATGATCAATACCCAGTGTGTGTGTGTGTGTGTGTGTGTGTATTGTTAGAAACAATATATTATATTAGAAACAGTATATATTGTCAGAAACAAAAATAGATACTTATAGAAAAAGATATGGTATAAAGATATGTCACAACGTATATAATAGCTATAATAAAAGTTAAGTTTACTTTTTAAAGCATAAGGATATCATTATGTAACAAAGAGAACCCTCTGACATTAAGTTACCATTGAATGTGTAAGAATTAAATACGTTAGTCCACTAGACTCTTACCAAGGAATTAGCACCATTGAATTAAATACATACTTCTTTAAAAAGATTGCATGGTTAAGCTTTTTGGGGGGGGGGCATTCTTCAAGTCAGTTTTGAGAAGTTCCTGCAATTTTCTTGGCAATATTTTCAGAAGTGGTTTGCCCTTGCCTTCTTCTCAGGACTTACTGAGAGCGACTCACCCAAAGTCACCCAGAAGACTTTGTGCCTAAGGCAGGACTAGAACTCCTGGTCCCCTGGTTTCTAGTCTGACGTCTTAACCACTAGACCAAACAAAACAAAGTCTTTGTTAAGCTTAATCACATAGCTTCTGTTGATCTTAGTCCCATAGCACTTATTATATGAAACATAGCTAAATCTAGAACAGATATGATTTCTTTATGATGTTCATTGCTTCTGTAATTCTTTGTAAAGACTTTTATTTTCACTGTTTTTTTCCTTCAGGGAACTGAACTGAATGATGACCGGACTCCTTCCAACGCAACAGTGATGACTACCTTCAACATCCTTGTTATTGACATAAATGACAACGCTCCTGAATTCAACAGTTCAGAGTACAGTGTGGCTATTCCTGAACTGGCACAAGTGGGCTTTGCTCTTCCTCTTTTCATCCAAGTGCAGGATAAAGATGAGGTAAAACATAAAAAATTAGGATTAAATCACTCTTTTTTTCATTATCTGAATTCTGCTTCTGACATTTTTTCCTTCATATTTTACGTAAGAATTAGGATAAGGATAATCTGGATAATTAAGATAATTAATTAGAATAATCTGCCATATTATTCTTTTAATTTAAATATCTTTATTAAGAGAGTATCAGATTGCACATGCCACATCTAATTCAGATTTTAGTGCATACTGATTCATTACATGATTTATATCTATAAAATACAGTCTTCCAATTTATGAAATTAATTCTCCAATTAAAAAAAAACATTGTTTATAGTTGCCATTTATCTACTGTCTTGCTTTGGAAGCTCTAATAAAACTTAGCTCTGTTACATCTGATAATTTTTATGTCCTTCTACTCTAGGCACATTCCTGCATCCTTGACAATTTGCTATCATAATTGCAATAAATTGTTTACTATATGATCCATAATTGCATGGAAATAACTTGCACAATGTATCAATAATTAATGGCTAACTGGCACTTTTATCAAGCAACCATGATATGTGGAAAATGGCTAGAGTATTTTTCAACATCTGCATCTTCTTAACCCATGGTTCCTTCTTTAAAAGGATGATGATACCACATATGCTATCTAGCAAGTACACTGGCAGTTTTTCTGCAATTAAATGTCTTCCTTTCTCAGGTTCTTTTGATAAATGTAAAACCTCTTTTTCTGGTGGCAATAACAAGTTTAGGGAGTAGAAAGTTTTTCATCAGGAGTCTTCTGTTGGTTCATTTTAATCCTGAAATGCACAGAAGGCCCTTTTTTTTCATTCAGATATATCACTAGGAATTAAACATTCTGACTATATGGAAATCAGTGATAGTTACTATATAAGGTTTTGGGTTTCACCTATCAGTGGGATATTCTTGTTCTTTTATGTCTATGCTCCTTAAATATCTATTGGTTAACAAGTTTAATTGAGAAATCACTAGGATGTTAATGATATGTGTTTTCCTCCTGTCCAACTGTTAAACTTACATTGTGCTCACTTGGAGGACTGGCAAAAAAGAAAAATATTGTTTATTTCCTGTATGATTTTTATCCAGGAGATCCCTGTTTTGAGCAGAAAACGTGAGGTTTGTCAGGGTTGAAGGAGATGTGCGGAAAAAGGCCATTAGCACAAAACTAGAAATTTATCCTGTCTATTCCTTTGCCAGAGTGACAGAATATCTTGGTCCAGTGAGGATTCACATCTGTGGGTATCATAAACTCTTTGAGTTAAAGTGAGTGCTAAAGGACAGGTTCTCTAAGTTATTTGGCTGAATTGTCTTTTGTTTCTCCAGATATATTTATTTATTTACTTATTTACTTATTACGTCTAAGATTCTCAAGTGCAAGATAGCTACATTTGTTTGTTTGTTTTTCTAAACTCTCTTAGTTGAACTTCCCAAAATCTCCTTTCTTGCATCACTGGGCTTCATACCTTCTGTTGGGATGTGACCAGCTGCTGATCTGTAGCATCTTTGGTTTTTGGTCTGGAGTTATTTATATGGTTCAGCAAAGCCCCATTTCTCTTGGAACTGCACTTAAGTTTTTTTCCCCCCAATCTAAGGTTGTGCTGACAAATTACTCACCCAGTTTGACTCGTATATTCATGCTTTATTGCCTGTGCATTATTCAACCACAGAACTATACCATAATGGGTAACAGCCTTTAAGTTGGGCTTAAAAGCTTGCAGATATGTTATATTATAATCTCCATAATTCCAAAGCAGCACATAGGCTGAGGATTTGTGGGAAAGCAATCCCTTATATTTGGAAGTTACCAGCTTGGGATGGGGGGGGGGGGGTGTCTAATGTGCAATATCACCTTTAAGACTGAGACTGGCAGGTAATAGCTTAATCTCTGTGGGCAAATCTGAGTGATTTTGCAAGAGTTGCTAGTTCCCACTACTTTAATGGGAAAAATAGAAAAAATAATCACTATTTGACTACTGTTCATTTAATTGGGCCATGGGGGGAAGTAGCCAATTGTGCAAATGGGAAAACAGGGTCATTTGACCAAGCCAATTGACCCCAAGCGTGTTGGATTTAGCCCCAAATAGGCCCAGATATTTTAGGGCTCAGGCATGTCATTTCGGCTCCCAGGCAACTCTCCTTTTTAGTCTGCCAAAAAAAAGAGTGCGGAAGAAAAATGGATGAACTATCCCCTCCATTGCTTTCTGAAACACATCACCAAATTCCTGATAGCTGTGGAAGACACTTCCAGAATGTTGATTCCCATCAGTGCCAGTTATGATGGTGAGGTCAGTCTGTTGAGAGAGAAGCTTTGTCCGGCAAGACAAAGCGCAGAGCCAAATCTCTCTTGGAACAGAGAGACCACCATAGACCCTCATGCCCCTTACAGTTTCCATAATCTGTTTTTAATTCAATATCCTGGAAATAAAAGTACTCATCAGGCTCCTTACATTTAAAAGAAGATGCAGTTTATGAAACCAGAGCACCTATCACCACAGGGCAGTGCACACTGGAGCAGCACAGTTTTAGCATTCAAGCATGACTCTTTCCTGTCCTGCTTAATGAATGATGAATGAAAGCTGCACTAATGTTTAAAAGGTTCACAAAGAGCAGTAGTTTTCTGCCAGTGGCCTTGCCAAAGAAGGCAATACTAAAAAGAAGGTGATACTAAATTAGAATGGAGCTCAAAGCAACCTGCTTGCTCTGGTCACCATTTTGATTCTATCTGCTTTTATATTTAGTCTGACTTTGGTCTTTTCTAGCTTAACGTGAGTTTTCAACTAATAGCCTGTTATCACATTTCAAAATATATTTAACAAAAACTTGTTCTAATCTCTGATCATCCATAGACCATTTTAACCTTCTTTCCTGAAAAAAGCATGTCCTTTGGCTAAATGTAATTAATAGTTAAACTAGTTCTTCCTTGTAATAATCTGCAAATCCAGTAAATTTGCTGAAATCCCAGCTGGGCATGTATCATTAGAACAACATCATGTACATGTAAAATTCTAGAAAGAAGGGTAGTATTTAATTCAAGAGTTACTGGGATGCAAGTAAAAATAATTGAGTACAGTCTCCTAGCAAGCACATACAGACAGCAGCATCTGGAGGTAAGAAAAATAAAAACCAACAGCAGAACCTTTTGTGGCTAGGCTCCCTGAGCAAAACCAATCACATATTCATTTAAATTTGAAAGTAGTGACCCAAAGGACCAGGAAGAACAATCCAATATCAAGAGAGTTACTATCATGGAAGCCAGCCCAATATTCAGAAAATCTTCACCACCCTAGAGCCCAGATATTGACTGAAGAACCTCATGGGCAAGGGATGTGTGATTTCCAAATGCTAACACTGCTACAGTTGCACAGCAGCAACCCTTATCCACCCCATCACTACTCAGTATAAAAGGGATGTTGAAAATACATTCACCAAGAAGAGAGGGAGAAAAGAGAGATAAAGCAACCCTGCAAATACCTAACTGCCCCAGACTTACAGTGGTGCTTAAAAGTTTTTGAAGCCTTTTGAATATTTTCAATATTTCTGCATAAATATGTCCTAAAATGCAACTGGTCTCCACGCAAAATAAGATCAAGAGGACCCCATTAAAGAATAAATAAAAAACATTATGCTTGTTCATTTATTTATTGAGGAAAAAATTAGGTCAGATTTATGCAAAAATATTGAAAATTCAAAAGGGGTCACAAACTTTAAAGCACCACTGTACATGTTTAGGTATTCTGAATGTTCTCTTGTTCTTGCTCCTTGTACCATAGGCCACTTCAGATGACAGATACCTGAATTCACAGACTCTGTGAAGGAAGAAACATATGGTACTTCTAGCAGGTGTTCTGGCAGGAGAACACACCTCTGGGGTTCACACATTCCCATGACAGAAGCTTCTGATCATGTAGCATTCTGGGAGAAATGCAGGAGGCTGAGCAAACTGATTAAAAATTGAGACAAAAGAGCAGGACGCCTGCTGCGGCAGGCATTGGAAGTGAAGCAGTAGTTCATGGAGACAGGAAAGGTGACCATTCAACTCCAGGATCAATAGCAGGTATGAGCATCACAAGTGAAGTGGGAAAAGATGGGTCTGGGATACTGAGTAGCCTTGCTTGATGACCCTTCCCATTTTATAATCTACTGCAGGCACCTATGTTTTGGCAGAAGAGGATAACAGGGGAAAGGGGGCCTGCAGGTTGTGGCCTCCCCAGTGGATGCCAGAGAACAGCAATGAAATTGGAGATGAGCCAATCATGAATGTTCAACAATCAGGATAGTTTAGGTTGACAGGAAAGGTAGATTGACTCCGGCTAGTGAGAGACCAGGTGATGACTATCAGGGAGTCTGGGATCAAAACAATACAGGCTGCTGGAACCAGAGGACAACAGCAAGTAATGGCAGAGGAGGGAAATGTTTGCTGATCTTCTGGACCTTAAACCACAGCTCCAACCCCATGTGCCAAAGTGGTTTTGCCATCACTTACTCCTCAGTAGCGTCAATCTAATCTATTTGATACATGGTATGGGAATTGTGGCATATGGCCCAGACAATCAGCAGGCATTTTCCCCTATGCCTTTGACTAGACTGCATAAGATCTGTGGATGTTGGCAGCAGCATGATGGCATCTTGGGAGGTTCATACAAATCATATATGTGCAACAGGTGGGCAGATGGTGTGGTAGCTGTGCAGCATTACATTCCAATGTCATATTCCCAACCAGTATTCCTTAACCAAAGGCAGCCCTACTAACCACACAATGCTCACAACTAATGCACCTTGCAAGCAAGGCAGCAGATCCTCATGGGACTCAAAGGGACAGAGTTAGGAGGCCAGCTAGTGGTGGGAAAGATGGCCGCAAACCTTTCTGTTTGTAGTGCTAACTGCCAACAGGAGTCTCTGATCAGTTCCTACATAATAGACCCTGTTTGGGGCCACTTCTTGAAGACCCAGCATAGATGAAAAAGAACAGTCCTGGCTGTCCTGGCTCTGTGTCTTGG